CTGAGGATAGGAAGACACTGAAGTCTCAGGATTCCCCAGCCACACTGAGGAGAGGCAGCAGGATCAGCCTGAGGTAGCAGTAAGAGCTAGTGGTCCACTACTTTGTTTTTTTGACCTTCAGCTTGAAGCTTGAACCCCAGTATCTATGGCTGGGTCTTTTATTTTTCGAGTTACAAGAGGGGACTGTCCATCCACTCCCATCACCCCAAACACAAAGATTTTAGCTAGAACTAATGATCACTACAACCATCTGGTTCAGCATAGGTCTTAGACGTCTATTAATTAGTAAAAAATATAATAAATAAATAGGTTGTTCCCTTCTGCAACTGGATAAAGTCTACAGCCTATACCCCTTGTTCTCTCCCACAAAAATGCAAACACCTAACTCTATCCCCATACACTTAAGTCCAATTGTCCTGGATTGCTTTCTGTTGCTATAACAAACACCACAACTAAAAACAACTTGGGGAGAAAAGGGTTCTTGTTAGTTAGGTCACAGACTACAATCCATCATCCAGGGAGACAAAGGCAGGAACTACAGGCAGGAACTTGAAATGGAAACCCATGGAGGAAGGCTGCTCACTGGCTGGCTCCCTCTGACACACTCAGCTACCTTTCATACACACCTAAATTTCGCCTTACAGTGCAACATCCCCACCTACATCAGAGAGCAATTAAGAATATGCTTCACAAACAAGAAGGCAGGCCATTCTGATCTAGACCATTCTTCAGTTGGGGTTCTTATACAGTCACTCCACATATGTGTCAGGTTGACATGCGTCTGGAAGAAAACAATGAAGACTGCAGAGAGAACACAGAGGTGCTTTCCAAATATGCCTCTGTCCTTTTAGCATACTGTTTACATGAGTCCACTTTTTTTTAACCCCCAAATGTTGCCCAAAGAGCCCAGTGTTAAGGGTGTGGTCTCCACTGGGCAGCACTATTGGAGTGGTGGAACCTTGAGGTAGAACCTTTGTAAATTTGGCCATTGGAGTCATAACTTCAAAGGACCCCAGTCCCTTCCTGTCTCTTTTGCTTCCTAGTCACTGAAAGGTTCAGGCATTATGCTGGCCTGCCCCTGTTACCCTCTGTTCCCCTCTCTCTGTTTCCCCCGCTCTGTTTCCTCTCATCTTTCTTTCTACTCTCTCTCACCTATGTGCTCTCTCTATGGCGACCGGCCATGGCGGTCAGCCATTTACCCCTGTTCCTCTTCTTAGTCTCCCCATTCTGCCGGGCCTTATAATAAACTTATAGTCAATATGTCTGTCTCAGCATTTTTCTTCTTTTTAAACAAAAGAATAACATTTTGGCACCCAACGTTGGGCAGAATGGGGAGACTAAAAAGAGGAACAGAGTAATGGCTTACCGCCATGGCCGGTCGCCATAGAGAGACAGAGCGAGAGCATAGGTGGGAGACAGAGTACAGAGAAAGCAGAGACAAAGCAGAGCAGGGAAACAGAGGAAACAGAGAGCGTAAATGGGCAGGGACCTGTCTTTTAAAGGGGTCCTTTGCATCTGCGTACAGACTTAGTTCCCATGGAACCTTGGGCTGACCAGGGTACTGCCTGTTCCACCAGGTAACAGGGGCAGGCCAGCATAATGCCTGAACCTTTCAGTCACCAGGAAGAGTGACATGCCCCCAAGATGGTGAAATGCCTTGTCCAAACAACCATGAACTGAAACCTCTTAAAGTATAAACCAAAATAAACCTAATCTTTCTTATGAGTTGATTTATCTCAGGTGTTTGTTACATCAAGGAAAAACTATAGTCTCATTTCTATAAATTACAACAAAGAATTTGATGAAGTTATTTAATTAAGACCTGAGCAAAAATTAGTGAAGGGAAGGGCAATAATCATTTTAAGCTTTTAAATAAATAAATTAGCCCATAAGTAATAGGGCCATAAAAGAACATTCTGAAATGCTAAAATGAACATAATTAACCTAAATAAACCCTAACAACCCATTCTAATACATGACATTTAATTAAAAGCAGACGCACACCAAAACAATGACTCAATGATAAAAGCTGCTGTCTATATGTTCCACAAACATATAAAAGCTTATCTATTCTAATTGCTAAACCTTAATAATTTAGCAAAAATATGCATAAATCAACAGTAACACTGAAAAGAAATTTTTTGCTGTTGGACATCCCAGTCATTATGAACTAAGATGTCATTCTGAGAAGATGCTGCAAACAAGCTGGGCCTGGCAGTGCCGGGCTGCAATCCTGGCTGCATCAAGGCCAGGCGCACTCCAAGGCGCACTCAGGCTACAGATGAGTTTGAGATAGCCTTGACGAGTAAAACCTTGTCTCAAAAAACTACAACAAATATCAGGCAGTGGGGACACACACCTTTAATCTCAGCACGCTGAAGGAAGAGGCAGACAGATCGCTCTGAGTTCAAAGACAGCCTGGTTTATAGAATGAGTTCCAGGGCAGCCAGGGCTACAAAGAGAAACCCTGTCTTAGGGGGTAAAAAATAAATAGAAAAAGGGCTGAAGACACAGCTTAGTGGTAGAGGGCAGAGTGCTTATCAACCATGTGCAAGGTCCTACATTCAATGGCAAGAACCTAAAAAACAAAAGCACCAACAACCACACACACACACACACACACACACACACAGAGCTAAAAAAAAAAAAAAAAAAAAAAAAAAAAAAAAAAAAAAAACAGGAAAGACTAATTATTTTACTACACCAAGACTCTTTCTTTTACTACATCAATATTGCTTGTACTGTTAAAATTGATGATTCAGTTGGCTTGTAACCAATATGTGATAAAATAATAAGACACTTCTCACCCTTTTGTTAACAAATTGAAACTCCTTACAGCAAACTTCTATCAAAAAGAAGCGTGGTGGTGGTGGTAGTGGTGGTGGTGGTGGTGGTGGTGGTGGTGGTGGTTGTTGTTGTTGAGGGGGAAGTTGAGACAGTGTTTATCTTTTTAGCTCTGGATGCCCTGGAACTCACTCTGAGACCAGGCTGGGCTCAAACTCCTTTAATCCCAGCAAAATTCTTAATGGAAGTGAATGAAATATTTCATCAAAGTCCACACCAAGACCATCAGTGTTTTCACCAACATAATTTGAAAAACAAAGATAAAGAACTTGCCCCCATTGTGGATAAGAGAAAAATTCCTATCTAGCACAGCTGCTGTTAAGAGCTTCTGTAGACTTCTACAGAGATATGGATGTGTGTAAATGGGCAAGAAGATAGGACAGTCCTCCAGAAAAGCCACCAGCCTTAGAAAAGTCAGGTCCAAGAGGGATTAAAGTCTGGCTTGACATTCACCACAAATCGCACCCTCTAGGAACTTCCATTAATTCAAAAGTATCAGAACACCATGGACTGAAACAGTCAAGGCCAGGTCATGGAGCATCCAGCACTGTAAAGGTCCTTCTAAGATTAGTATCAAAGAAGTCATTTTCTTTCTCACCAGGTAAAAGAAACAAAACAAAGCTATAATCAATCAAAATATCACTTCAAAACCTTTATGGAACACCTAACTTTACAAATCTTCAAGTCTGTGTCACATAGATTTCTCCTCTAAAATGAAATTCATAATCATCCTCTGAAGCTAAGAAAGCAATCTCTCATTATCATTTCAACACAATTCCAATACTGATTTCTTTCCACCGCATTTCTTGCTTTGGTTCAAAGGGCAGAAATACACACATAATAGCCATCTACCATTTCAAAAACTGCAGGAAGAGAACTAGCTAGGGTTCCCCTGCAAGGGCTTGAGAATCCTGAGGGGTGTTTGTACCATGCCATATGCAGAGAGAAGAGAGCTTCGGTATCTTTGCAGGAGTGAGACTTTGCACAGGCTGCTCTTACCAGCATGTCAGTGGCACTAAGGTAGTGCTTGCTGGCCATGCACTGTTCCAGTTTTTGAGGCACTTGCTTGATGTTCTCAATTTCATCCAGCAGGTTCAGTACATGCTTATGCTCAATTCCTTCAATCCACAGTTTACGAAGCTCATCCCGTTTGCAGTGCAACAGCATCTTACAGGAAAGGAGATTCTCTTTTACCTACAATAAAACATGTTGGATCTTCAGTCAATTCAAAATCTTGCCAGCCTAAACCACTATCCTGGTTAGTATCCCTTAGTGGTCCTGTGTGTGTAACACTTCCTAATTCCCTCCCACTTATTTCCCTTGGTTGATCCCCTTGCTAAATTCTAATCCTGATTCTGGTCACTTGGCTGCATCACTAACTCTCTGTGTTTCTATTTTCTCTCCCATGAAACGAGAAAACCACTTCTAGCATACCTTTGAGTGAACCTAGAAATAATTACAATGGATATTGGAACTCTGAAAATCCGAGGCACCATACAAATGTGGACCCACCCTAATGGGAATGATCAGTAAGAGTTCTAGTATTCCTTCACCAGTTCCCCCTGCAGCTGAAAGCTACAGGACCCATGCTTACAGGTATAGAACTCCAACCCATTTATTACCAAGGATCTCAGTGCTCTTCCCAAATGGCCACAATAAAATTAGAGCCAACCTTGGAAAAGGAGTAAGCACATGTAGAGATAATCTCAAAGACACATGACAGACTTTTTAAGCATCATTCAGTAAATTTGATATTAGATAATCTACAGCATTCTATAAATCTAACATTCTAACTGCTGCAGATGCAAAATATGATTAAAGGTAGCAAAGTATTGGGAGAAAGGGGATTGGGAAATGGACATTAATCACAATCATATCATAAAAGTTTCATTTTCTACCCTATAAAATTCTCAATGTTTCAAACATGGAAAGGGAATTTTTAAAAATGATACGGTGTCATGTAGCTCGGGCTGGCTCAAACCCACTGGCCTTGACCTGGTGATCCTACTGTCTCCTGCTCCCTAGCACTAGGCCTCAAGCACATGCTGCCACACTTGAGTTTTTGCTGGGAGATTTTTAAATTCCATTATCATCTACAAATCACATAACTGCTTTCAAACACTGTTGACAGTCCTAGCATATGCTTCTATATGGAGCTCAACATTTGTTTAGTTTTGTCTCTATTTCCCCTGAGGTGACTGCAACTCTGGTGTAGACTTGGTGCATTCTGACAGCCATGTACACTTACATGATCCAAACTGCCAATAGTATGAGGCATGCCCATGACCCTAGAGAGTCTGTGTGTCTGTTTCTCTTGAAGAACTGTATTCTTTCTCAGTGAGAATATTTTAAGGATGAACATACTACTGACACTGTGCTTTTGACTACTGTAAAATGAAATTTCAGTATTTGTCTCACAAGCATGGAAAAGGTGAAGATAGACAGCTAAGGCCAGAAAGTCTCTTGAGAAAACAACTACTCTGAATTCATAACATCTAAGTCCATTTTCTATGTTATAGGTAAGAAGAATTTGTGATGTCCTTTCAGAAGCATGGTGGTAAGACTCCATCAAGGGGGTAGAGAAAATCTGACAGAGATGGTTCTAGTTCTCACCATTGCTTCATGTACTTCCACCATGGTAAAAGCAAAGAGATTCTTTATAAACAGGACATCAAGAAAAAAAGAACAGAAGAGGGATGCGCAAACAGAAAACCACAGAACAATTCTAGAAGCTAGCCAGAAGATGGATAGTGGAAGTTAGCAAACCATGAAAGCCTGGGTGCCTCGGCCTGGAGTGGGTTTTGCTATACTGAAGGTGCAGGACATGGAAAGCCAGAGTAAAGAATTCAGACTCCCCATAGGGATATTTTGTGGACCAGCATCCCATCCCATCAAGCCACATGAGCAGTTGAGTCCTTCTGCCAGCAATTGCCAAAGCTGGACAACTGGAAAGGATTTGGCTCAAGGAATGGTAGGTATGGCTGAAGGGTGAGATGCACTGAAGAAAAACAAGAGGAAGTAGTCAAAGGGGAGCTAGGACTATCAACCAGCATGATCCTTAGGACCTCAGGGCCTTTAGCACTGTCTATGATTCAACTCCAATAACATTGACAGCTCCCTCTCAGCACCAACCACAGAAAGTAAGGGTGCTCCATCAGGGAACTCAATGGCAGTCAAGCCTTCTTTGAGACCCTTCTTAGAGGAAGAGGGAGAAAGTAGTGACACAGGAAAGGGGAGGAGATGGTGACAGCTAGAAATTCTGAGGAACAGAGCAATAGACAGCAGAAAAAAGTGAGAGCAAGAAGTGGTGGGGTATGAAATACAGTGTAGACTGTGTAACTTAAGTATTAGGAAAGCTGAGGCAGGAGGAGCCTAAGTTTGAGGCCAGCCTGGACTACAATAGCCAAGTTTGAAGTTAGCCTGGGCTACATAGGAGGAGTGAATTCTCTGACACAATAGTAACAAATTCAAATAGAAAAAAAACAAATTTACTGACATATAATATCAGAATATATGCATATTACTGCATGAAAATTAAACCTCAGTAAAGATGAGGAATAAAACATTGAAGGAAATAATATAAAACCAGGGTAGGGGATATGACTTTAAACCCAGAATTCTGGAGGCAGAGGCAGGCAGATCTCTGTGAGTTCAAGGCCAGTCTGATCTACATAATAAGTTCTAGGATAGCCAGGACTACATAGACAGACAGGGCTGTCTCCAACAACAACAATAACAATAATAATAAATGAATGGGAGGGAGGGTGACGGTACCACACAAACTCGCATGTGACAATTTTCAAAAGCCAAACTCAGAAGAGAGGAAAATGACAGTTACCAGAGGATGGGACTGAAGAGCTGTTAGCGACAGGATACAAATTCTTAGTTAGATAACAGGAGAAAATTCAAGATGCTGACTGAAATTAACAGCAATGTGTCTTATACTTGAAAATTGCTAAGAGATGCTGTAATGGTTTTACTACAGAGAAATGATATCTATGTAAGGTGATGTACATATTAACTTGATGTAACCATTCCACAAGGTGTTCAAATTCCAAAATACCATGGTACATCCATAAATGTACATAATTTTTATTTATCAATAAATTTAAATAAGGTCTTTTTAATTGGGGGGTATGAAACAGGAACTCTGTCATAAAGGTACCAAACTCACATAAACATTTATTTCTCAAATCCATGTTCTATTTTTATAAATGTGATGACAGTATTTTCACTCTGTTATGTCTAATTTACAGGGATAATTAATATTGAAAAATTATATTATCCTGCTTCTATCATAAATAAACCCATGGAAAGCCAAGTTGTTAAATCGTATCATGCTTTGCCTCCTCAGAATTACAGTTAACTTGACATTTGCTCCAAATCATGTGTTCAGCAGCACCGAGAACTTCAGGCTCAATATACACAACTGTAAGTCACTCTAATTAGAGGACAGAAGAAAAGAAGAAAATAAAACAGGGCTCCAGAGACTACTGAAATAAGAGATGTGAGATGATATAGGTGGCGGAAAAGTAGAAATTTTTGTAACACAACTTTGGGACAAAGGAATGAAGAAAACTAACTTGGGCTTTAAAAATATACAAACTTGCCTCAGCTTTTGGAAGAGAAATAGCAGAAACACACTTAAGAGGGGCTGATAGATAACTGCTCAGGGAAAGACAGGAAGGTCATAATCTTTAAGACACAAAAGCAGAACAGTACTGAGTTCAAAACAAGAGAAATAAAAATGGTAAATTCCTCTGAAGGTGCTAACACCCATAATAAAGTACAGCACATGTGCAAGCATCTTAGGACACCTGTGGACCAGAAAGAACCTAAGAAGTTCTCTCTTGAGCAAGAAATGGTCACTAAAAATCAATATATCAATATCACTTAGTTTACAAGTACAAAATATTATTCTATCCCTTTTTGACGGTGGAAATAAATCTACATCTAAATGCTTTCATACACACATGACTGTGAGAAGGGTCCAACTGAGTTTGTCTTATAGAGTTTATAGAAAGTTTACTGAAAGAATAAACTTGAGAAACAACAGCCATGTTTAAATTACCCTCACATTTTTATTTTCCATGCTTCACCTTTAGTTTTTTTAACTTCCATTCTCAGGTTTAAAATTCTCTGAAAACCTCCTCTCAATTCATTCCAAGGGCAATCCCTTCCTTTTCAGCTGCTGGATGCAGACACAGATCAAGAAACCCTTGAGCTTTATGGTAAGATTGCCTCGAGGTTCCTATGACTGCAATAATGTACTTAAGACTACTGTTCTACATTTAAATTACAACTCTTGTTACTGGCCATTGTTTAGCATGTCCATTTCTGGAAACCTGAGGTTTTCTTCCCTTTCTCATACAAATAGTTAAGAATTTTCATTAACATTTAGTCTGTAAATAACATCTTACGAAAAATATGCTGTTCTCCTATGACATTCTTTGTATTAATTAAGGCTATTCTTCATCTTAATTCTACCTCTCAAGGTATACTCTCATATAAAAGTCAGAAGTCATGTTGGGTAAATGTTAAGTAATGAATGTTGCATTCCTAAATAATGGGGCCCCTAAGAACATCACTTGAATAATTATTCATAGCTCTTTCTAGTTATAGGCAAGAAAAGCAGGTTTTTATTATGGTATCTAATACCAAGAAAACAGCCAATAAAAAGTAAAATGTTGTGTCCATATGTATACCAGAAAGCCAAGTGTACATTCTGCTTTGTGAACCCTTCTTCTATGATAGGCATCAGACTACTTAATATGTTTAAAAAAATCTTCACTGAACTCACCTCGTCTTCCTCACATATCATGGAGAAACATCAACAAAGCATGGCATATCTGGTATGAGTTTTCAATCTGTATCAATTAATAGCCATCAACGTCAATGCCATTGTAACAGTCACCATGAGACTAGCAGAACCCATGGATTCTGAGGCATCTGGTTTTGGCCAATTTAACAGTGTATTTAATTACTCCAGAATTTTGTTTATTATCCATACTACTTGACCTGATTGGTCATATATGGTATTTCATTTACAATGATTATTTTTTAAACTATAAAAAACTTCCAAATGGACTTGGTCAATGTAAAATTTTCAATGTAAAATTTGAGAAGAAAATCAAACCCACCAGCATGTATTTATTCTGAAGGACATAGATTCTAAAAATATAACCTAAATGGATATATGGAAGTGACCTCAAAACGGAAGGCAATGCATAAATAAGAACACATCTCTGACTTGTTCCACCTTAAAATATATTCCTACATCATCAGATACAATATGCCTTTAAATATTAGCCACATTATGTTGTTACTATGTTCAAAACCTTACCACTTCCAAACGGCTAAAAATTATGCATAGCACATATTGCAAAATCTTCATTTATATGAGTCAAGTGTGCATCAGTACACTCGCTAAAAACTGGAGTCCATCTAATAACCTGATAGACCCTATGGCCGCAAGTCCCCTTTGCCACACCTCACACACCAGCACCTTCGTTTGTCTCCTATCACTCTCCTGACTCCTCACTTGGCTTTCAGCTCACCAGTGCTCTTGCTGCACCTATCTCTCCTTCCTCAAGAGTTCTATAACAGACTCTCTTCCTCATCCTCTTCAGATACTAGCCTTCCCTGGCCAACCTTGTTAAAAAAGCAAATCCCTAGTCATTTCCTTGCTTGTATTTTTCTTTTATTGCCATGTGGTCTGTTTGTTCTGATTAGAATGTAAACTAAAACTTAAATTGTCTGGGCAGAAATCTTTCACTTCTATACTCCAGAGCCTAGAATAACTATCTCTGCATGATAGTTTGGTCTCTATTGAAGAGATAAAGAGACTAAACAAACACTGGAATAATCTAGTTGTTTTTGTTTCTATCCTATCTTCATGTTTGTTCCATGAGGACAGGGAATGGTGTCTTCCACTTTTTATATCCACTAGTACCTAAAACAGAACCAAGAGCATGGCTGGCACTCAAGAGATGTGTTGATAGACTCAATCTTCTTCATATTCCTTCACTAGAGAACAGGAGGAAAACTTCAAGTCAGATCTGAGTATTTCCAACTTGCTGTGTGGCTCTAGAATAATGCAGCCTGATGGTGGCTGACTCATGCACATTTTCACCTGAGACAATTATCTACCTATCATTGGTATATAACCTGAATTGTGGGTAAAAAACCAACAATGAGATGGAAAGATGAGTGGGAAAACATTACTGCTTCTTTGGTCATTACAAAAAAAAAAATGGATGCTTAAGATACAAAATTATCAAAAAAAGGAATATAAACAAATTTACTTTCATTTTCCAGCATTTTTCCTTGCTTATTAATCAATTATGACAGTGTTCTTTGCAAAGCTTTCACCCTGTACTTCTTGTCCAAATACTGACACTGGATCAGGAGACATTTACTTTCTTGGCAAACTGGCATAATAAACACTTCTTTTGTTTTCTTTCTTTAGCTCTGACTTTAGTATACTGAAAGTAAGAATGGTACATAGAATAGTGTGTGGCTTCTATAAAATGCAAGACTCTCAAGATGAGACCCTTGTTTTCAGCACCAAGAACAAGCCGACACATTCTGTTGCCAACAATGATGCTGAGTGGTAGGACCAGGGTAATCACTGCTGACACCTCCCTGGAGATTAGGACAAATCCTTCCAGTCAGCCAAAGCCATCAGAGGTCCCTCACCCTTCCTCTCTTGAGCTTATTATACTGGGTCAAAATGGACTAGAGTTTGTTTTGCATAAGAGCAACTCATCTATAGCTTCATCTAGTTTCGCAGATAAATCCATAGGAGGAAACTACCATATTTAAAGGCAAAGAAATATAGTATTCCTTTCAAAAATCAGCCAGTTGTTTTCAAAATGCAAAGAGATTGCTTCAGGAAAGGTTAGGAGCTTACTGGCTCCGATGCAGGACTGTAAGAGGCTGAAAGTCACATCTGCAGTGTCTGAGAAGTATAATGTATGCACTGCTTACAAAATTATACCACAAGTTCTAGAGGACAAGAAAGAATGTAACACCTTGAGCACAGCTGTTCCTGGGCTGGAACAAGCTAGGGAGTCCTCCATATCTCACAGCCCAGATAGCAAATTCCACACCACAGTCTGCATGGGACATAATGTCCCCAAGGTGCTTGAGAGGCGGTTGCCAAAAGGGAGGCGAAGCATGTTGCTCTGCAGTTCTCACCCCAACATTACATAAGCAGAGATTTCTAGCCCTGTTGGTATTTGACATGTTGGGGTTCTGCATGTTTTATACTTATTTTTTAGGGGTGAAAAGCACTGCTTGAAAATTTCCTGGGGGAAAAAAAAAAAAAAATGACAGTAAGGGCTTTAGAGTCAGGGAGCCCTAAGTCCACATTCTAAATCTGTTGAGATAACAGATGCAATCATACCCTGGCAACAACAACAAAAAAGTCAGTGTTCAATACAGGTAGCAATTACTGTTACTTATCAAAACAGTACAAAAAAGTATTAAAGGAGTGATCCTCCAAATACACAGTCTAGAGGCTCAGGAAATGGCTCAGTGGGCAGTACCTGCTGCACAAGCATGGCTACGTGAGTTCAGATCTTTAGCAGACACATAAAAGCTGGGCATGGTGGTATATGCCAGTAACCCCGGTGCCAGATGGACAAAGACAAGTAAAGTCATGAAATTTGCTGGGAGGCCAGTGTAGCTGAATCAGGGAGCCCAGAAAACTATCGATTATAAAGTCGGGGCCCAAAAAATTATCGATTATAAAGTATTGGGGTCCAAACTTCTGAATCTTCCATAGTCTTTCAAATGTCCGACTAATCACTGCCGCCAGATGGCTTGGCCTCAGTGGAGAAAGTCTCCTAGTTTGCATAACAACAGACCTAGGCCCAGGGGGTGCCAGTACCTATCCAGGGAACTTGCTTAAGTGCCCAGAGACTGTTTAGGTGCCTCTTGAATTAAAAGAATTACTTGATGTCAGCTATATACATGATAGTAGATGCCTTCTGCAGTCGCCCCCACTATTGGAAAGCCATATAGGAGGATGCTTGAATAAACCAGAGACTCCAGTTTCCAGCAGGGACTGAGAGACCTCCTGAAATGACAAGATGCCTGTGTCTGGGCTTTATCACTGTTGGATAGCTAGGAGTTTCCAGATCCAACACCCCCCAACTCAGGGATGGACCCAGGGCCATTTGGCTGGCTCTGATCTCAGTCCCAGAGACATCAGTTCTGAATAGATAGCCTTTGTAGCATGGGACTGATATAAGCCGGCCCCCGGCACAGATACAGTGAGATCTTGTCTCAAAAAAAAAAAAAAAAAAAAAAAAAAAAAAAAAAAAAAAAAAAAGAAAGAAAGAAAGTAGGAAATAATGCAGGAAGATACCCAATGCTGACCTCTGGCCTCCATACACAGATACATGCACACACATGCACACCTGTACACATATGTGCATATGTATACACACACACACACACACACACACAATAAAAAAATAAAAATACATAGCTAGGAACTACAAAAGTTGGATGTGATGGTATGCAGTCTTTTGTTTTATTTTATCTTATAGATGTTGGCCAAATACAAAAAAAGCACCACTTATAAATTCACTTTGTCCTTCAGGTACTAAAGGCAGGGTACTCAGAAAACTATAGCTTTTCAAAATTCCATAAGCTGTCTTTATGAATCACTGGTCAGGGGCCATTAGGCACTACTGTGGCACAGCTGCAAACCACACCTGTAAAGGAAGGGACAATTGCCAGACAGGAGGGAAGGAGGCTCACCTGCTTGATTTTATTCCGAGAGTTAGTGATACGCTCTGTGATGCTCTGGTAAGTTCGAATGGCCGTTGTCAATTCTGTGTAGTGTTGAACGATCAATTCATCCAGGTCACGGTCGCACTTCTCATAGGCTTCTTCAAGGCGACCTTTCTCATTTTCTCTGTCCTCAACATCATCACTAGTAGACAGAGTCCTGGTGAAGACAGAATTTATGAAGCCATGTATGTGGCCATGTCAAACTTCAAAGCAACAATCAGAAGAACAGTATCCAGTCAATACAGAATCACATTCATACACAAACAAGGAAATGACCTGAGTTACCAGAAGATACAAAATAACCTTCAAGGCTGGTTCCAACACGCAGCAAAGTGCATGCACAGGTTGCCTAGCCACAGAGCCCACCCTTCATCTACCCTCTTGACGCCTGAAATTACATTAATCAGCACAGATCGCATGGATACGACGGAAGCTCAGCAGCTCTTGACTGGTAAGAATCATGATAATTCCTAACAGGTCCATTCTTCTTACAACTCTGCCTAACAAAACCTACAAAACATCTAGAAAAAGGTCCCTTCTCCTGCCCAGGACACTGACCCATAAAGCTGAGATTCAAAGACACTTGGTCATCTGTGGAACCAAAGGCACAGTACATGCTACTGCAGCTGTGTTTGTGGGCCACATGATGGAGCTGAAGCTGCCCACCCCTCAAGACTTCTTGCTAAGGGAGAAAATAAATATCACTGTTTAAGTCACTTCTGGGTATCCCTCTTTCATATGTGGCTGAAGTATACTAAGATAAAATTTCTCTCAGCAATGGACCACCTTCTAAAGAGCTCGTGTGAATGGCCTGAAATAGGAACAGAGCCCCCAGCAGCCTGGGGATAAGGTCACGTTAATTCTAAAATCTGTTACAACAGCAATAACCCATGCTGCACTACAAGACAGAGGCGGCATTCACTATTCTTCAAACAGTACCAACAAGATTGATAGGAATCAACAATAACCAGACAATGAGATAGGTACACTTATTAAAAATCTTTCAATAACTCAGTTTGATACATGGGCCACAGATCTTTGTTTCCTCCATTATCTTTCTTGGATAATTTTTTTTAATTTAGTATTATAATAAAGAAACCTTTTTCTCTTATCTGCTCCCTGTGGTAATTTAGAGTTTCATTAAATTCCCTCAGATTTGTCAGCTTATACATTCAACTTAGTTTATTTCATTTATCTTTTTTAATTTAGGGAGGGGGATATTTTAGGCTCTCAATGATGGATGCAATCAATTATAAGTCCATCATTAGAACTGCTTTCAAAGACAGTCTGTCAGCAAATCAATCACGTACCCACTTCCTGACACTTTCAAGCAAAATACTGTATAGCAGTCTTCTCCAAACTGTCATTCAGAGCAAGGGGTCTTAATTCATGAGCCACACAATATATAAAACTTCTTTTTCAATTTAGAGGGAAATTCAAGAGGCCTGTCCGTGACTTCAATGTACCTTCCAAAATGAATTCTGTAAATGTGTTAGGGATGCCAAGAGATCAAGTGTTGCATGAAATGAAACAGTACTGGGAGCTATGAAGGGCAGTACCAGGCCAGACCCTATTTCCTCATCTGTAAACCTGTGATCCTAAGCCAGATGAGTTCCAATTCAGGTAGAGAACACACAAGTATTTAACTACTAAAGTAAATCTCAAAGGGAGAGACACAAAAATCACCCTCAATATTTGGTTCAGAATATCTTAGCATGTCTCTCTGTTGTTTTTATGATATATAACTTTGCTCTTTAAATCCGAAACCTTCCAGGATATTAATCTAAAGAGCAATCCAAAATTTCCTTCCAAATTATCAACTGTCCCATTGGTAACAATCTCTGGATATTTTACTCCATCACTTCTACAGTGCTACACAGCATGAGCCTGCCATTTCCACAGTGCCTTCCACATTCCCCTTCCCCCTCACATACACACTGCCATTTGTGGAAGGAAACATGCCAAACCTCTCACACTGTTTACCTTAACTAGTCAGAATTACCATTAAGGAAAATGTCAGGCTCAGGAAGGACACCTTCTCTGGCATGAGCTGTCACTGCAATGCATTACTGGATCATTAGGAGTTACTTAGGAAAGAGAAAGGGTTACTAAAACGAAGATTAGGCGTAAATTGAGTCCACAGGGGATATTTTCTTCTATTTTCATTTCCAGAGGAAATATTTACAGAAGAAGTACCCTGTGCAAGTTTGACTCACACTGAAAGTTCATCCTCTTCCTTTTGATGTAACCTGGGATGAATGACAGCTCGTCCATCTTTAGTCAAACACATAAAACTCTAAAAATACAGCTTGTTACAGTATTTTTTAATTAGTGAAGGGAAAGGCAGTAAGACAATGAAACTAATGAAGACCTCTAAAATTTAGAGAGACTCACAATGTAAGAAACCAGCTTTATTCGGCACTTTATCGAGTATGTGTCCACTCCCCCGGAGTGGGGCCTCTTGTTATCTTCCTTTCCACACTAGAAGCAGCTGAGCTTTGAAGAGATTAATTTGCCCACCTCACACAATTAGAATAAGAGATCCTAGAAGGACTGAAAACCCACGTCGGCCTGCTTATGGATTAGGCTTTAAACAGCTTCGGAGTAATTAAAATCTATCTCTGAACTCCACCTAGGTTGAGCTCCTTATTCCAACACAACTCCTACCCAGTTTCACAGCATGGAAGTTTGCATGTGCTGACATGTTAATGACAAATGGTGTGGGGTTTAGAAGGCTATTTCCAAAACAAAGAGATATTATATACCACAAGACAGGCACAATCATTCTGAACTACATTGTGTTTGTTCTTCCCAGGTTTTAGTTTGGAGGGGTTTTTGTCTTTGTTTTGAGGGTTGTTTTATTTGTTTTCATTTTCTAAGATAGGGGCTTGCTAGCCAGCTCAAGCTGGCCTACCAATTATCATGCAGCCAAGACTGACCTATATGGTCCTCCTGCCTCTGCCCCCCAAGTGTTAACGCTCAAGCATCACCACACCTGGCACTACAATGCAGTCTTAGTGAAAAAATGATCTATGATCTGGTGGACAGTCATTGCTGATGAGACATGTTTCACATGTTAAACATTAATACTAAGCCCAGAAATGTATACATCCCCCATTGCCCTGTGTCTAGAACATGGGGAAGGCGGTAAATATGAGGCCTGGAGAACAAACAGAAGCAATGCAGTGGTCACATAGTAAGTACAGTCTCTGATAGCCTTAACATAGTACAGTGAACCTGACAGTATCACGACCCTTTATTTGATACATGAGCAGAGGTCCAGAGATGGGAGTATTTGCATACATGCACACAGCTAATGGAATCTGAGCTGGAATTAAAGCTGAATACACTTGAAACCAAAGCCCAGTCTCTTTCTACCATATATAGTAATTGCTATTCTTCCTACCTCAATCCCAAACTGAGGACTTCACCCTAATCATGTGACAGCTCACCAATATTTCTTTCTTTCTTTTTTTTCCAGGGGGAGGAGGGGAAGGGAGAAGGGTGGGTTTGAAACAGGGTTTCCCTGGGCATCTCTGGCTGTCCTGGAACTCACTCTCTACAGAGTGACCTTGAACTCACAGAGATCTGCCTGCCTCTGCCCACTACACTGGGATTAAAGGTGTGTGCCATCACCACCCAGCTTGTTTCTTTTTTTCTTTTGAAGCAATGCTGCTGGACCTGACAAAAAGGTTAAAAAATAATAATAATAACAAAAACAAAAAGGCAGAAGCAAAGGACAATGAGTTAGGTTGACACTCCAAGATGCATTCAATTACACAGCCACTCTTTAGATTCTGCCCATATTTCATGTAAATCTTGATTATAATTTACAAACTGCTGGGGAATACAAAAGGGTAAGCTAGACTGCAGTGACAATGGACACAGAGATGTTCCCGGATCACTAAGAATTTTTTACTAAGACAGCTCTGGTATTTTACATGATGAATTACATCTCTAAACATGACTAATTAATCCCCAGAAAGGAATGTGTTTATCTAACAGGCTAAAGGTCCACCAAATCCTTCTAGCAGGAACAAGGATGGTGGATGGGGCCAGTGAATTCACAAGTCACCAGCTCCTGGAGAGTCCCACAGACAAGCACTAAAACACGGGATAAAGATCCAGAGACTGAAAATGGAATCCCATGGTTCCTTTTATTTTCTTCTTTTAAATAGCAGCTTCAGTCTTTCAGTTGCCAGACAAATGTCGTGAAAGGAAAATGAGCACTCACCATCAGCAGCTCCTTCCATGGAGAAATCCTGTTCTCGCTATGGACTTTAGCAGAGTAATGGAGTCCAGACACACTCAAGAGCATAAAAGTCAATGCTCTTGTTTTAATTAAAAGATCAAAGGAAGTGCAAACGGGAGGGAAAGCAAGCGCAACTATGAAAATCTGGTTACTCACCAAGACAGCCCATCACTCACTGAAGCCAGAACTTTCAATCAAAGACAGAGGAAAAGAAAGAAAGAATTAAACAACCAAATCTAGACTGCTGCCGGAAACACAACAAACCCTTCTTTGGACACTCACCATGCACATCACACAGAGGCGTTCAGAGTTTGCAGAAGGAGCTCTGTGGGACAACACTTGCCCAGCATGTTCAGGGTCCTGGGTTCAGTACACAACAGTGCACAAAAAAGTTCACTTTTCTTTCCCCACACCACTACTTATGCACAAAGTTCAGCATATTAGCTGGGTGTGGCAGCCCACGCCTTAAATCCCAACATTCAGAAGCCAGGGCTACATAGAGAGAGATGGTCAAAAATAAAAAATAAATGTAGAATATGCAAGTTTATAAATTGAGTTAGGTATAGTAATGTCAACACTTAACGAGGTGGAGACAGGAGGATCAGGAGTTGAAGCCATCCTCAGCTACAAAGTAAATTTGTGGCCAACCTGGGTTATAGGAGACCATCTCAAAACAAAGCAAGAAAAGAAAACCACAAGAAGTATCTGCAAACTCAAATAGGGCTTTGCAGTGGGGCAAGCCAGCATTGTCTTCTAATCCTAGACACTTAGAGACTAAGGCAGGAGCATCAACACTCGAGGTTAGCCTGAGCTAACAGTGAGGCCCTGGCTTAGAAACAGAAAATCTTAGTAAACAGAGACAAATCGAACTCTGCAACCCCAGTGAGGTCCTCAACTTCTCTGGG